AAAACAAAACAAAATAAATGTTATTACTGTCTTACCTTTACTTATAAATGAATAGAAGTCCTCCTTATCTTCCTTCAGTTTTAAAAGTCTCTCTGTCTCAATGGAGATCACTGCCAGGGAAGAAAGCCTTCCTTGATCCGTCCTGTTCCTGCCTTATGTTTTCAGTCTCTTGAGCACCCCCTGCCATGAGGCAAGAGAACTGCCTGCCTCACCTCGAACTTGTTCTCTGCCGTTTATAATCGCTCATTACACGAAACACGTTACACAAACACAGTTGGTGACAAAAAGCTCTGTACATTATATACATAAGCCAAATTATTAGAAATAAGTTCACATATTACATTTGTTTAAACCATTTTATTGACGCCGTACAGCAACATGCTCTCTCCGCTTTGCAGCCAGCGCAGAGCCAGGGGTTGCGCAATCCAAGGTGAGGCAGAGCTCGCTGCTGCCTCACCGGCATCGCTTCCAAGCATTTGAATGGGAAAATAAGAAAATTCAGCGATTTTGAACAAATAAAAATCGAAATTGGTGAAGCTACATGAAAAATGAATATTTTTTAGTACAAACCACCGGATGAATATAACAATTTAAATTACTTTATGATTATATATTTTCTTTCTTTCCATGATGGCTGGTGAGGCACTGCCTCACCTGCCTCCCCTGACCGCACGTCACTGTATATATATATATATATTGTATCCAAATAAATATTTTTTTCTCTGTTGTGACATTAAATCAGAAACCATTAGGAATTTTGGACTCACAAGCTTGCCAGCTTTCTAAATGTTTAGGTCATCATAGCTAAACACTGACATTTTAGATTCAGTGGCCTACAGCAAAAGTCTCAGAAAACATAAGATGCTCAACCCTAAAATATGGAACATCTAAGTTGTTGTTATGCTTTTGTAGGAATTGCTTCTTCCTTTCTGAGTGGCTTTTCACTTCATGTTGATATAGGATTAACTCCATTGCAGAGAGTTATTCTTCCATTAGCTTAATCGTATGAGCAATGAAAAAAGATGGCTGACACCTTATCGTAAGACCAGATATTTACAAGGACTTAAAAAAAAAACACACCAATCCTTTTCTTTTACACTGAGACATAAATCAGACTAATTCTGTAGGTCTCTTTGGATTACCCTAAGTATTTATTTGGATGTCTGAAAAGTAATTATACTTGGCCTATTTCTTTTACCACTATGGTAAAGCCTGAGAGAGAAAATGTCATGGATTTGCACCTTTTTGACACCTGGATTCAATGGAAGAATACATGTAAAAGATACATACATACATGTACAAGAGAACTCCTTCAACCCACTGCTTTCTAGTGTAAGATATTCGAAAGATCAAAAGACATCAGCTGAAGTGTTGATGAAATTGTGGGCCTCCACAAATCGGCACCAATAAACACCATGGGATGGGAGAAGGAAGGAAACAGGCCCTGTAAAGAGGTTTTCTTCAAACAGGCACTAGGAACAAGGAACCAGAGGACTGGAATGCAGAACAAAGGTAGGATATGATTTTTGTCAGGAGAGACAAGAGAACTAAGTATCAGAACTTGAAGGAGCAGAGACCAAAACAATATGAGAGCCTGATTACCACTCGTGCAAACAAAACAATCTGGCATCTGCCGCTTGAAATCAGCTCATCTTTTGTATATATATATTTATTCAGAACATATGTCCAAAAAAAATCTAAATCCAATGTACAATAGTGTTCTTTTTTTTTTTTTTTGTTTTTTTTTTAACCTTGGATTAATTGAAACACAGTACAGATCAATATTGATCAGTCTCTCAGGTCTAATCTGGTTAGAATGTCCAAGAAATAACTCCATATCTGGTCAAATTTAGCCAACGTCCGATGTACCGAATGGAGAATTTTTTCAGGAGTACAGGATGAATACAGTTCATTGCTCCAATGTTTCTTGTTTGGAGGCTTCATAGATTTCCAGTCTTTACCTGTAAGTATACTTTTTTTTTTCTGCAGATGATGCTAACAAAACAAAATATTTCTTGTAAGGATTTAATTTCAAGGAAATAACATCTCCAAGTATCCATATCCTGGGGTCAGGATCTAAAGAAAGCCCACAAACTGCTGCTGTTAGCAGAATTATATTGTTCCAGTAGGTTTGCAAGTGAACTTAATTCCAAAACATATGAAGAAGATCCCCTACAGACGTCCTACACCTCTAGCATTTGTCATTGATACTGGCATTCAGCTTATTCAACCTATATGGGATATAATATATGTGGTGAAAAATATTTAATTGAATTTGCCTATTGTTGATATCAATATTGTTTGAGATGAGTTAAGTAATCCCCCCCAGCTTTTGTCATCATCAGTTTATGAACCAGGTCATCTTTCTGATAAAACTTGATGAGCTGTAATTGTGGAACCTAGAGATGCTGGCAAGAGAGCTAAAGGAGAGACCTTTATATACCAACATGCATGTGAAAACTAGTCAATGCATTTTTTTTCATTACATAATCAACCTTTATTTTCTCTACACATGTATTTTTTTAAATGATTTCAAATGTGGCTATAATCTCCTTTATTTTTTGGATGTGAAAGTTGACATCAGCATTCTTGTCCATAATCCAACATTCCAGCCCTTCAGGGCAAACAACTTTTCCTCTCAGGAATCCAGATACAATATAGGGCCCCATTGTCCAGAGACGTGAGCTGAATAACAATATCGTTGGGGACAATATGGGCAATGTTGCTGTTTTTTCTGGCATGCTTAATCCCATTTAACTGGTATAAATAATGGCCCTCCCACCAAAGACATTACAGAAAAAAATGTCACTATGCAGTTCATGTTTGTAAGTTGTTTATCAGAATCTGCATCAAATACAGTATCGTCTCATAGTTTAACAACAATCAAAATGTATAAAAACATTTATTAGTAAATCAGTGATGATATAGAACGTCAATTTTATAAATTACAAAGATATAAGACCTCCCAAAGAGTGTATCCAAATATTCTTTTTAGTGTGCTTCTCTGCATAAAGAACACATAATATACATACATATAAAAAGCAATTGTAATTGCGAGTCATGGATCTTAAGGGTTAGAAAGAAACTGTCTCTAGTGAATTATATGACAGATGGAAACAGTTTTACTTTGAATGCTACTTTACTGCAGTTCACCTTTTCAATGAAATTCATCAAAATGTATATCAAAGTCTATATTGAAGGCAATAATACTCTAAAACAGTTTCAGTAGAAATGTGGTTATATCTAAAAAGGGTTGTTAATTAAACGATCTGAAGCTTTAACCATCTCACAAATCATAGTTTAATCCATTATTTGGGAATGTTAGGGGTGTGGCAAAGCTAATATTGACTTACCAAGCAGTGGCCTTCTACCTACACTGACAGGCTGGACAAGATGAGCCTTAATCAAAGATACTGCCAGGAAATTCATGACTTAAATAGTAGAATCTGCTGACGAGACAACCATTATTCCTCTCTCAATCCAAGCCTCCATGCATCCCTTTAACTCTTGCATGTTAATTGTAAGAGAATCAAAAAAGGTGCTGGGCATAGGCCATAAATAGTACATAATCGTTCCAGCGAGTTCTGGGTCTCCGTACAAAGGGAAGCAGACAGGAAGCATTTTGATCACATGCCCGGACAACCTCAGTTGACTTCTATTGGTGCAATTAGCGGTGCTTTACACAAATCTGGCATTAATAGAGGGGTGACAGGATTGTTAAATGGTTGAAAGAATACCAAGAGAGCTCCCTGTAGTTGGCAACAAGATAAGTATGGTCTTAGCTGAGTCTAAAATGGAATTTTTAGCCGTAATGCAAAGTGCATGTTTAGTGGCAAAAAACCCCCGCCTTGAATCATCTTCACAGCTAAACATGGTGTTGATAGTAGCATTAAGACATAAAAAAGAATGGTTAAAATCTAAATGAGTTCATGTTGGGGCTGTTCCATCCCAGGACCGTGAGACCTTTGCTTTATATCTTCCTCCTCTCTCCACCCCATCTCCAATTATACCACTTTGAAATTATAGGCCACTAGTTCCTTGCATAATGTGTTTTGTGATCCCGTCAAAGACATACTTTAACCCATTTGACAATATGTTGCGAGATATCGAAGATGATTTTAACAGGTCTTCCCCATCTGATTCCATACAAGCTATGAAACTCAGTAGGGTTAAATATTTTGTCTATAGGCAAGCCAAGCTGGAATAGACATATGATAGGTTCTGGTTTTATATATTTAAAACCAGGTGGACAGAAGGTTAATATTGTCCACAGCTCAGATTTCAAACATTCACCATTTTCCTGCCACTTTCACCTCTTTGTGTTAATCTGTCACATAATATCCAAATAAGAGACATTGAAGCTTGTTTTTGTATTTAGTAATGTAAAAAATATTTGTATCATTAAAAGGAAGTGTTCCGTTTAACTATTGAGACTATAAACAGGCATACGTGTTTAAAATACAAGCAGGTTAACAAGTGCGAGAAAATACCTAAACTTAGTCTAAAGTCAAAGTTCTTTGCAAACATTCTCCATAACAAAACAGCCAAACTTGGATACCTCTTTCACTTCCTAATAAACCTAAATAGAGAGGAATCTTCCAGCATCATCCACTTTATAATGTTGTTTTCTGTTTCCACAACATCACCACAGAATCTCAGGCTGTCACTATCAATCAGTCATTTTCATGCATGGCACAAACTTATCGCACATAGAAAATCCTGAACGAGGGGCTCAGCTGAGTGGCTGCCACTGGCAGCCATACAAACAGCTCACGCTTTTGTCTCTTCCCTCCTGCAGAACAGTGTAACAGTGTTCAACTGTGCCACATTCACAGAGGGGAGGTGCCCTCTGCTCATTTATGAGCCTGTCCTCGAGGTCGCACAGCAATCGGCCTACATTTGAATGGCCGGATCAGCAGACGTATAATCAGTGAGATAAAGGACAGCATCTTCCATGCCAGCTTGATGAGGGTGAAAGCAAAGGGAGGGGGTGATAGGAAGAGGGGAAGGGACGGGTATAAATGAGAGCCAGCGGGCATTCCCCGGCCCACAGTCGTTCCCAGGGCATTGAAACCAACAGAGAAGCTTGCAGACATGGCGTTCAATGGAACTTGGAAGGTTGACCGCAATGAGAACTACGACAAGTTCATGGAGAAACTTGGTGAGTCAGACAAATCCTGCAGCACCACAGGGCAATCTAAGTTATATTACTGTACAGTTTACTCCTTAATGCTGCAACCTGTCCGAGAGTTAAAAGGATGAGATGTCCTGAAGGTTAAAGAATGTTATTCTTTCAATATCAAATTTGTATTTAATCTCACGCACTTTCCAAATCCCACCACTCTCAAGGTGTCAATGTTGTAAAACGCAAGATGGGAGAGCACGACAACCTGAAGCTCACCATTGAACAAAACGGGGACAAATTTCACATCAAAGAGTCCAGCACGTTCCGCACTAAAGAGATCGACTTCACCCTTGGCGAGCAGTTTGACTACACCATGGCCGATGGCACTGACCTCACAGTGAGTGCTGACAAGAGGCTTAAACATCAAAGAAATAGCGGGAAAGGTAGAAAAATGGGGCTTGGAATTAAACTATGTCTCTTTTTTTATCTACAAAGGGTACATGGGTACTGGAGGGTGAAACGCTGAAAGGTTCCTTTACAAGGAAAGACAACAACAAACCCCTGACCACCACGAGAGCTCTGGTGGGAGGAGAGCTTGTGCAGGTCAGTGCCACTTATTCATCTAACATGTAGATCAGAGCTGGCCCAAGATAGAAGCAAACTACACTGCTGAGTAGTATTTCAAGACAGAAACAGACCCCAATAGTTCTGGATATTTTGTTTTAAATTATATAGATCTTTCATACTTACAGGAGTGCATGAAAGGGGTTCAAGGTGGCAATGGTTCCACTTGTATTTTTATTTATTTTTTTACCATAGATTAGCCTGAGAGTAATATATGAATGGTATCTGTATTTATCTATTAAGTTATTTATGATTTTGCATTTTGTTTGTCCTTTATAGCAGTATCTCTCAGGACCAAACCTCTGGAATTACTGTTATGCACTTATTGAGGTTTTTTTATTTTCTGCTGCCGCACATCACCAGACAATATGTTAAGGATATAATTCACTCATTTGACTTGTGTGTCCTTAAACGTGGAGGACTTTGGCTGCTTAGGATCAGGGTCAAGATGTTTTTCTAGCATGTATTTTTACTGTAAATGTCTATCCCCCAAACAGAACATGTTGCCTCCCCAGCATTATCAGTTGTTCCTACCTAACTGCACTTCCAAAACTCTTTTGAATGATTAGCAGTGTTTTCCGAACACTGTATTTTAAATAATTTAAATTTAAAATTTTCATACATTCAACAGTTAAAGTAGCTTTTAAAAAGTATTTTCAGATAAATATTTGGCTGTTTTCCACTCTTTGATTTAAAGCACATCCAATCCAACTTCTTTTTCTTCACCAGGGAGTTTTCATTGGAGGATTTATTACAGTAGTTATAACCATCATATTTCCTAAATTGCCAACAACTGCTACTATGGGCAACCTTTGTACCTACTGCTGTTAGTTTACTGAGTAATGTAAATTAAAGATTTAAGGAGTTCAAGGATTTGAAGCAAATTGAGTGGTGCCCCCCCAAACTGACCGATCTAATAAACTTCTGCCCTGGGCCCCTGAAAAATCTTGGAGCGGCTCTGTTATATGCAAAATGCTGCAGTTTTTCTCGTTCAATGTCTTGTTTCATGATCTCTTCTTTTTTTCAATCTTTTTTCTGCAGAGTTACAGCTATGAAGGCGTGGATGCTAAGAGGATTTTCAAGAAGCATTAACCAGGATCCTGCTGTTTATTCTTTTATTTTTATACAGCTGACATGGCATATTTGGATGTTCTTTTTATTCTCTAAATGATAGAAAACAGCCACATTAAAGTGTATTCTTAATAAATGTATTTCATGTACCTAAACATGTTTTTATATATATACATATGTATAAATACCATTCGGGATTGATCCCTGAAATGGTGCTGTACTGCCAATATCTGAGTAAAACAATGAAAAAGTGTCGACCCCTAACTGTGAACTGGTGACCTAGTTCTCAGGATAGGTCAGGGGGCTAACCTGTCTGAATAAAGGGAGTTCAAAGAGCTGATCAATCTGCACTGTCCATTTTTAAATGATTAAAAAAATAAATGTAAATGACATTTAAGTGAACTGAGAGGGAAACATAATTTAGAATCACATTGTAAGTTTGGAAATTCTGGCAAACTTAAAAAAGATCTACCAGTTTGGTAAGAGTCATTTTCTAAAAAGAATATTAACTAAACTTTGCATATGTCTCTTTTTAACAAACAAAAATGCACCTTTCGCTTTCTATGGAATACTCATTTTTATCAAATAAAAAAAATTTTTTTATCCCCCTGCTAAATAAATGGTGGGTTCTTAAAAATAGTAAGCCTCAATGCACTCTGGTGCTTTTATCATTATTAAGATTATAAGGAGGTTCAAACAGTGGTTGATGACACAATACAGTATGAGGCAGATGGGATAGGTGCCATATTGTTCACAGCCTCAAAAGACCAGAATTTTAATTCACTGTCAAATTTAAGACTTAAAACCAGTTTGCTCTCATTTTTTCTCACTTAATCATAATTTTCGCCTTATTAACACTTTGGTTTAGATCTAATTTTATACATTGCACACACAAAGGGGTGGCCTAAACTTACATATCACAGGGTTTCCCATGTCAGATATGATAGGAAAATATTATTACTGAACACCAGGATAACATAATTACATTTTTACAAACACAATCTGATTTTTTATACCTATATATGAGGGCGGATGGAGGAACTCATATTGCATTATTACCACCCTTCAGAGTCTGATTGGATGTGACTCACATTGTAAATAAACAAAATGACTGTGGTGTGATGTTGAACCTTCCTCTGCCGTCATGGGTTTGCCTCTGAGCGAAGGTTGCTCTTTTTTGAACCAAGGGCCTATCACATGAGGATTTAGAAAAGACATGAGGCAATGCTGTTTATTGTGTAGGCAAAACCCCCCACAAAAAGGGGTTTGTTTTCTTTTTTTGTCATGAAAAGAGAAAAATGACATGACTCAACATGCATTACTGACCACAAGAGGGCAACATAAGCTCATTCTTATATCAGACTTACAACCAAAACACTGTATATAGAGGCAAAGCTAAAACCATGTAGAGGTGACAGACTTTTGTTTTGCAAGTATTTTCTTCTCAGTTTATCAAGGGGACGTTTTAGGCTGTATAGTGATCTGATTGCAAAACACTTTATTAGATTAGATTTACTTTAAAGGAAACATTTATCTCCACTTTATGTTTTTATTTAATGGTTACATCATCAGTTCAAATGTCAAAGAGCAGAAGTTGCATCAGTAATTTAATTACCTGATTGGCTGTTGTAAATGAGAAACAGATGTAGCCTACTTAAAACCATTTTCTTTTAATGTTTAAATAATACTTTTAAAGAAAACTGGCAACCAATCATCAACATCATGAATTAACTGTGTTAGTTAAGTGTTCAGACCTCAAATAAACTTGTGTTAGCTTTTGGTATTGCAGATGTTAAAAAAGATAAGTACACATTTTAAAGGAAAGTTGCTGAAAGAAGGTCCAGGCTGTGAGTTACAGCTTTAGAAGTTTATTTTATGTGGAATTTGCCCTTTCTCAGGCTACTTTGGTTCGTTCCCCTGTCTAAAAAGCATCAGCATTAATTTAACTGATCTCTCTAAATGGCATTTAGATATCAGTCTGGAGGGTTAATTTGTGGAGCTCTTTGATAACCTGACAAACTGATCAGGTTTGTTGCAATTGTTTTGTAACAGCAAAAAAAAAATGAATTTAGTTTCTTATGGAGCATGCAGAAGTCAAATTCTCGGATTAAATCATGTCTATAAACTGTACAGGTCTGCTGCAGTGTTAAAGAAGCCCAGGTGGATTTAAAAGATTAAGTTCTCCATTGTTGCTGTTTGTGTTTTTGATTTCTTTTGACAATATTTCATAGATTCTTAAATGGAGGAATCTAGATTAGTTTCTTTTTCCCCCCATTGGATTTCTGATGAGAATAAAAATTTCCATCAATATTCTACTTTTTTTATATCATCTGACTACATCTGACAATTGGATTTCTAATTGAATAATCATCCTACATCCTGCATCGATCCATCGCAGTTTCCATCCTGACTGGTACCATCTTTCACGGACGCCTGAGATAGACCAACGGGCTCACTAGACGGTGGCAGGTGAACACCTCAACATTTCTTAGACTTTATTTGTCCACATATCATATAGCCCTAGCCAAAATATTTCAAATATCAAGTACAAATACCATAGTAATGGCATGATGGACCAGCTTCACACCCCTATTACCCTTTTGTTATTACAGCAATTGAATACATTCATTTAATTCCACAATAGAGTAAATTAGACTGAGGTTGTAATATCCTTTGATAACTACTAAGTGGCGCTACTAGACTCCTGATTTTCTATTTCTCAGCACCTCTGTCTGTGTATGATGTCATTCTGACTTCAGCTATCATATGACACTCACCGCACACAGAAAAATCACTGGATATCAGCCCAGATTATTAATAACATGCCTCTGTGTAATTATCAGGAATGTGCTGGAGCAGACTGAAGCAGCATGAAATCTGTGGGAAAAAGAAAAAGTCGTGGGAGACTTTAGTGTTTTGATTGCTGAAGGAACTGAGGGCACTTAGGCCCACCTCAGGGAGCTGGAAGCTTTGGACGAGAGCAGAGGAAAAGGCACACATTAGGATGTGGACTGAGGAGAAGACAAACAGGATAAGGGGTATAGATCCAGACAACAACCGTGCAATCACCTTCTCCCTCACTCATCTTCGTCTTGTTTAACACACACTGCAAAAAAACTCAAATCTAAATAAGTTATTTTTTTCTTTAAATAAGTGCATTTTTTTTAATTGAGGAGGTAAGACATCTTGCCAGTAAAACAAGACAATTTACATTTAAAATAAGAAAAAAATAATTGCATTGTCTTATTTGAAGTGAATATTATCTAATTATCTTAATTACATTGGCAAATCATCTTATTGACAAATTTTTACTTATTTCTAGAACGCTTTTGCAGTGAGAGACCAGAGTCGGAGGTTTAGCTGAGGCTGTTTCTAGGTAGTCACCAGCACATTTTGGCCCGTGGATGTTCAGACAGTGACTATGCAGAGACACGTGCAAGCTTTGAAAAAATGACTCACTTGTTACTTGGTGATGAGAACAACATCCAAGCCCATAGTGTCTGATGCCTCTGTAGCTTCTGTGCTTCAAATGGTAGCAGACTTTTAAGCTTCTGATCAACTTAGAAATATTGACGTTTGTAAGGAAAAACTGCTGGTTGAAGTATACAGAAAATATCAGTAAGCTAAAGAAACAAGGTTGAAAACAAAATATAGTTTTAGACTATAGGATATATGCAGCTGAGAGCACTTCTTTGTGATTTTCATGGGACATACCAAATGAAAAGTGAATCTTATCTTTGTGTCATTTAAAGGGAAACAAAAATGATTTCTTGGAGAAAAGAAAGTAAAAATTAGGCGACTCCAAAACAGCAAAATTCTTATTAATGTCTAGTGGATGAAAAACACAGCTTGAAAAGTAGTCAGCATCCATGGTCACTAGACAAGCAGATTTATCCCAGAATGCTTTGCAAGAGCTTTCCTCATTTTGTTCTGGGGATGAGAGAGAACAAAGATGGTGCAGAGGCGGATTCACGTGACCCACAGGGAGCGAAAAGTAGTGATCTGCCGAACGGTCAGTTAATAGAGTTCACTATAAAGTCCACTATATAGTCCGCGCTCTACATAGTGATTGAAGGGTAAGGGCGGACGTTCGGACGTTCGGATTTGTTGCATTTATTCCATTACATTCATTTAAAATTACATCTATTTGGGAAAAATCTCAAGGAATAGGTTCACTGTTTAAGGATCGATTACTGCAACAGTATTTGTATTTGTAGGTTTGCCTAAAAAATACATAAGACAGCTGATCCAAAATGCTGCTGCCCATGTTCTCACTAGAACTAAGAAAATAGAGCACTTCAGCCTGGTTCTGAAGTCCTTACACTGGGTACCTCTAGCTCAGATAATAGACTTTATAATCCTATTAGTCTATAAATCACTGAGTGGATCAGCACCTCAATGCATAACAGATTTTTCTGTCAGTGTATTAACCTCCTAGACCCCTTAGGTCCTCTAGTTCCAGCCTACTCTGTACACCCAGAAAGAACCAAAAATGGAAAAGCAGCGTTTAGTTCCTATGCTCCACCTATCTGGAACAAACTCCCAGAAGACTGTAAAGATGCTGAAACCCTGAGTTGTTTTTAAATCAAAGTTAAAACCCATTTATTTAGAGCTACCTTTGACTAATAAACTCTTAACTGGGGTATCATTAGTTTAAGGTTTTACTTGCTTTACTGCCTGCTTTTATCAAGTTTTTATTTTTACTTGCTTTCATTCTGCTTTATTTTTCAAGCAAAGCGCTTTGAATTGTCTTTGTGCTGATTTGTGCAAATACAAGTAAACTTTGCCTTGCCTTTCATACTTTTTACTTCTACTTGAATAATATTCAATATTCAGTATTAACCATTTGGAGGTCAGATAAATGTACAGTAAACTGGAACTACAGCATGCTGTTCTAGCATATTTCAATTCCTTACTGTAAGCTTTAGGCTTAAAGCTTTGTGTTGTACAAAAATATAGTTTAGGGATGTAATTTTCACCTAGCTTTATATCTATCCCCTAGAATTTAAATCAATGTATACCCAGGGGCAGATTTAGGAAATTTGGGGCCCTAGGCAAAGACAGGCAGGGGGCCCTCTGAATGGAGAAGACAACACATAAAACAGACCCATTCTACAGATAGAGAAATGTTAATAGAATAGACATCCATTATCTGTTCTAGGTTTTGTCCCTCTCTTCTTGTCCCTTTTCTTCTTGTTTTCCTCTCTATGTTTTGTACTCAGCCGACTTTTCATGCTGTCTCTAAAGGAATGAAAGATTTTTTCCAAGCACTAAGCTCACTTAGCTGATTGCTCCTTCCTGTGTTTCCAAAAAGGCCAAAGTAAATAACCCAGTCTTTCTTTTCACTGTAGACAAGCCATGATCTGCTTATCTGTTCTCCATTTTTCATTTGGATGAAATAATAGCTGCATGAATCATGACAGCAGACAAGATAGAGGAGAGCAGGAGGCGGGGTTACCAATCTACTTGCTCTGGAGAGCAAAGTTCGCTGCTTTTAGATGTTGTCTCCAAAGTCTCCAGTAGCGGAAAAAAGGCGCTAGATTTGGCGCTAGGCGCTTTTTAGAAATCAAAGTGCTAGAGGGGTCTGATAAGTGGCTAAATATAGCGACTAAAGCGCTTAGTTGGCAACACTGCTCTTTGCCTCGTTTGTTTTCAAATGGTTTGCTGCTGTCTGTTTGGACCTTTCTGAACATGTGCAGCAAATGGACTGATCCAATATGGTGGACACTGAAGGGGGGGTGAGACACACTTAATATTATCAGCGTTCTGATGGCATTTTAGCGAAAGGATTTTTATCAAAAATTAATTAATGTGCAGAAAAAAGGAATAGTTATATTAACCATACATGGAAACAGAGTTTTATGGGGCTCCCAGGAACTTGGGGCCCTAGGCAGCTGCCTAGTATTGCCTAATGGTAAATCCCCCTCTGTGTATACCTTGTCTTCCCATTTACTCCCTATTTGAGTTGTTTTTACCACATATTTTTTCGTCTTTATTTAGTCTTTTTCTTAGAGGACTATTGTTTTACTTTCATTTGTGTATAAAAAAAAAAAAATAACAATAGAGCTACACTGACTTGAGTCCATTTTTTTGGTCTTATCTTCCTTTCTATGACAGGATGTCAGCTGGTTGTCAAATTGCCATCAAAATAGGTTACTCAGCCGAGCATTACCTAAACCTTCACGCTCACTCAGCGGATATGGCTCCCTCCCTGGTGTCATGTGTTCCTGGGGCAAGTGATGCATACACATGCAGTGAAGGACAGCGGCCAGCATGGGCAGCCTTATTGGTGACACCAGGTAGAACTAGCTGACTTCTCCAATTTAAGCTGTGTTAGCTTTTTTAGGGGGATACAGCTCAATGAATCAGTCTCTGCTCCCTGCTAACATCCATTAGCCTTAGCTGCTTATTATCACTTCCTTCTGATATACATTGCACACACAAAGGAGGCATGCACAAAACTTGGAGAAGCTTTGATACTCTGACTTTTTTATTGTTCTATTGGCAAACTTTTTTAAATCCCTACAGGTATCTACCTCTTTAATAAAAAAGCATAATGTATGATGGAGGCACACTGTTTATGCTGCTGTTTTAATTTCTTTGTGGTTTCCAACACGTGTTAAATGTTGTTTTTGACCAGAATGAGCAACTTAGAAGCTTTGGTTTATGATTCACAACAGAGATTAGAGATTCATGACTAGATCAAATATAGACACAGGAAGCACAAGAGATAACCCTGACAGCAATTCTGACAAACAAATGTTGTATTTTTGCTTCTCCCTAGTAGGTACATTTTCTTTGACATTCTTCAGTTGGAAGAAAGAGCATTTAAATGCAACCCAAACACTTCTTTAATGAACTCCTCATAGGGGAGTAACATGGCTCCAATGTGTTGCAAGTGAGGTTTTCATGATTGCATGCATCCAGATGAATATTTCTCCCTGCACACAAAGGACCTTTTATCCAGCACTTTTCTCCTCTATGACAACGTGTGAAAAACCTCAGATGTGGGTGAGTGTGTGCCATGTGAGAAGGTGCTATATGCTGCCTGACAGATGAGAGCGGAGACAGTATGGAGGGAAAGTAAATTGGCTTTGGCCTCCGTCTCAGGTGTAGCCAGCTCCTGGGTTCGTCAGGCTATTCTTATAGAGGGCAGGGAGAGGTCTCCAGCTCCCCTGGTAGAAAAACCACTTTATAGTTTCCCACATCTTGTTTTGATGGCCCCAATGGACTGGAGGGGGGGGGGGGGGGGGGGGGGGGGGGGGGGGGGTTATCCAATGACAAGTGTGAAAGAAGAAAAATGGAAATGGCACCATGTGCAGGTGGATTTAGCAGGCTCACTTTTCTCTTACATTCATTTATATATCTGTTTATTGCTTGGTCTTAAACTGTCAAACCCAGGTGTAAACTGTTAAATTAACAGCTTTGCAAAACGTCTAAAGTGATTTTGTGAGCGATCTTTACATAGTGGTAGACAAGCATACCCATTGTTGTATTTTAGTAAGGAGATCAAGTTAAGGTGTTCGATCTTTTCAAATGTCTAACAAAAAGGAGTGGAAAAAGAGCTTTATCTGGGTTTTATTTATGCAATCTTGGCAAACGATGTTTGAAAATATTTAAAGGTATAGTGGAGGATATTTGCAATTTCTTTTAAAAGACCCACACTCTCTAATTAAAGAAAAAAGCACATGCACAACCCTGTACCTGCTCCCGAGAGGGAACACCCATTAAATGCGTGTGAGAGCGTGCACAAGCCAATTTCTCCACGTGCACGATCGGTTTAAAAGTTGCAGTTTGCATTACTCATACAAGCTTACTTTCCAAAAGATTTGCAATTTTTCCACCATGTCAGACTCACCGCCGGTAAGAGAAAATGGGGACGAGCACGTAGGACGGCCTGACGTAAACAAATCACCAGATTGATTGACAGTTAGGAGGACCACTTATTTAGATAATCCACCCAGAAATGGAACATCCTCCACTATACCTTTAAATGTTATGCTGTTCCTGATTTTTATTTTTTATTCACCATATGAACAAATGAATACATGTTGTGACACACAAATACCGGTCTTAACAGCAGTTTCAATGTCAATCTTTAATGGCAGATGGACCAAAATGTCTTCATTTAATATGTTCATAAAAACAGCTCTATCACCTTTTTTTTTTTTTTGTTTCAAACCAACAAACATCTGCAACCCACTGAGGTCAATTTCCTCCTCACAGCGGCTAAAGTACATAAATATCAACAGCACTTGTAGGTATTAAGGAAAAAAGAACAAACACATGCCTGTGAACATGCACAACACACAGTTACACACCGAAACCAAGCAAAGGAATATCTTTCATTAACAAACAGAATGACCGTCTCATTAACTTCCAGGAATTTCTGTACCATAAGGCTGGAAAAAACATGAAAAGATCGATTTGTTCTCCGACTTTCACAGTGAATTATAGCAGTATTCACATATCAAACACAGACTGTTCCGATTGGACAGTCACAAACCCAATGAAGCTCTAGAAAAATGATCAAATGATTATACAGATAAACTTACAGTAATACTTACAGTTAATTATACAATAATCTTCTATGATCTTTGGAAAGAAAAAAACACACTCACACTTTTTTATATAAATACTTGTTCTAATAAATTTGGCTCCACACTTGGTTTAGAATTATAAAAAAAAAAAAAAAGAAAAAAACCCCTCTTCATCTATTCAGGTGATACGGTCCACCTTAATATGACGCATGTTATTATTCAACATGAAGAAACACTGACAAATGTACAGGATTCAACTAGCCAAAGAAGGTTTTACACACCTGGAGTAAAGAGTATTCAGATATTGTTAATTTCTTACAGCATTTTCTGTGGTTTCCTTTATCGCCACATCAGTATGATATGTGACTTTATCTGCAAAGTACAAGAATTGATTACAAGCGTTAAGAGTTTTGCACAAATGGGACAAAGTTGATTATTTTGCCATTAAAAAGGTTACACAAACATGATCAGTCCATGATATGTTGCACAGCGGATGTTATTGCAAAAAGACATCAAATCAGGAATTATTCTTGTTTTTTTTTTTCCACCTCCATCATTAATATGCAAATTAAAACTTGCCAAAAGCAAGTCCAATCAAACCAGCTTCCTTAAAATAGACAAAAGAGACAAAATGCTTCAAGTGGAAAAATTCTTTCAGAAGCTAAAAGACTCTTTGGAGTGACACCAACAGGGATATGCAGCAAAAAAAAAAAATAATTATGTCGTACTTCATAAGAAAATCAGACCAAGGACTACAAAGCAGTCAGAAATTGAATTCTAAAATGCGCACCAGTGTAAAAAAAAAGCCTTTGGTCTTTTGTTTCTCTGTACTTTGCTATTGTCCTCTTGCTACAAAATAAAGAAGATTTCTAATAATAGTGGAGTTGAGTTTTGCCACTCGCTGTCATCTCTGGGGTCACTTTTTACTTTCACCAGCGATGGCTTTAATCCTGTTGATGCCTCTTCTTGCACATTATGACAGCATACAGGGTGAAAAGGGACTGCTGATTTAGCTCAGCACTATAAAAAAATAAAAAGCAAAGAGAAATCCACTTTGTGTAGAAAAGACAAGTTAAACCGATGACTGCTTTGGTATGGAAGGGCGACTTGTTATTTTACAAATGCCACGAAAACATAAAAGAGGCAAACAAATTGAAATAAAAAGGTAGGACAATTTCTCATACACAACATGAACCGATCGAAACATTTCAACGTTGTCTTGATTACAAAAATACCTTTTTGTTTTTCTTTAAAATATCTAAAAATGTACAGCATTGTTGAATCTTTTATTTATTTTTGATTTTTTTTTGCAAATTCATGCTTCAACATGTATTTATTATAATAACATTGATATGAATGATATACAGAATATTAATAATTCTAGTATTATAACATTACTCGTTTGCACTTTAGCCACACTTCCACAACTCTCCTGCGTTGGTCTTTCCGTACGTTTGCCTGCGCATGAAGCATCGGTAAACACAGGGCGTTTCCACCATACGTCTCAGAGGAGGAGTAGCAGAAGTGCTGCCTGCAAAGCTCGAGTATGTAACAGTATAAAAAAACAAAAAACAAAGAGAGTAGCAAAGACTTCGGGGAGGAGGGGGAGTCGGGAGTGGGGCTTGATGTGCGATGGAGGCTGGGGTCTAGTATGTCCTGAAGCCCATAAGGCTGCTGCTGCCTAAGAGAGGAAAGACAGAAAAAAAAAGAATAAGACTGTCATGGATTCTGCATATTGCAGCTTAAACACTAATGAAAACACAAGGGGATCATGCAGAGCTGGATCACATAGTTTCTCAAGAAGCCATAAAATCATACACAGAAGCAGACACTGTAATAAAGAGACATGGCCTGAAGTCTTGTCTCGGATTTTCCCCTTAATTTCTAATAAATTCTGTGGAAGACAGAACCAAGATTCATCTGAAAAACACAGAGTAAAAAGACTGAAATGTCCCTTTAAACTGTACGGTTTTACAGCTTCCTGGAGAAGTGTTCCCACCTCAGATAGTAAACTTTATACAAATTGAAAAGCTTGCTGATCCACATTTCAAAATAGCTTCAGCTCAGTCAGACTGGATGTAGAGCATCAATGAGTCACGACACCATCTCCTAATAATTAATTTTGGGTGTAAATCATTCCATCATTGATTTGGCTGTACATTTTCGGGTCGTTCTGCTGTTAATCTCAGCACATCTTGAGTCTTTTAACGCTTTTAACAGATATCTAATAGAATAGTCCTGTGTTTGCCTTCATCTATTTATGAAGGGGAGTGGCAGCCTAGTGGTTAGGGCATAAAGCTTGGAGTTCGAGCCCCAGTGCCGCTCCCTGAGCAAAAGACCCTTAACCCCGAACACTGCGCCCCACGATGGAAGCCCACTGCTCCCCAAGGGGATGGGTTAAATGCGGAGGTAAATTTCTCTAATGTGAGATCAATAAAGATAAATTATTATTATCTTTCACCTATTTTGATGTCACTGCTAAAAATCAGACTCAGCATCAAAATGCTAAGCAAACAAATAGCCACCACGCGTCACAAATATTCTTGAACTGTAAAACAAAAGTTAACTTTTAATGAAATCTTGTAAAACCATAATCTACATATTAAGACTGACTCACAGACAACTAGACTCCATTTACTAATGACATCTGAAGGTATCTGAAAGCATTGGGGTGCATTAAGGAACTTAGTAAATTAGGGAGAGACCTTTTATATAAGATCATTTACAGAGGGTATACTTACTTCTAACTGTAATGCATCTAGTCTGACTATATTCATTTCTTTTCTCTTGACTAAAACAAGCTCAAACCAGTTCAGATGAAAGCTGACAGTGTTAAAAATATCTGCTGGTTATCTTGGAGCCAGAAGATGTATGAGGTGTGACACTTTTTATCTTTTTACACGAAAACAATGTTACATATTCGGACAGCGCAGATGTAAACTGCTTTGTTGGATGTTTTTTGTGGCTAGGTGAGATCTACACCTTAGCACCTAACTGTCCTCTCCTGTTGAAATCAGTGGAGGAAAAAAAACAAAAACTCACCGACGGTACGCTGCTGCAGGATCTGGAATCAGGTCAGCCCTTCTAATTTCTAATAGAAGAGGCAAACAGCAACGCCCGTCACAGCCGGCCACGGCCACCATCACACATCAGGAACCTTAGGAGTGAAGAAAACACATCAGGACCTTTTAGTAACCTTTGCACACCTTAAATATGCTCAGAACCCATAGTGGAATCTGGTGAGATTTTTAGCATGCGTTAATTAAGCATTTTAAAAGTATAGTGGAGGATGTTCATTTTGCAGGTGGATCATCTAAATAAGTGGTCCTCCTAATCGTCAATCATTCTGGAGATATTTTTACATAAGTCCGTCCTACATGGTCGTCCAAATTTTCACTTACTGGTGGCGAGTCTGACAGAGTGAAAAACTGCAAATGTTCTTCAGCACAGTAAGCTTATATGAGCGACTCAAACAGCAACTTTTAAACAGAGCTTGCACAAGGAGAAATGGGCTCGTGCACGCTCTCGTACGCGTTTAATGGCCAATCCCTCCGGGGAACCGCACAGAGTTGTGCATGTGCATTTTTTTTTCAAAAATTCATGAAAATCCTCCATTTCTTATTTTTAAGGGTCTACCTTCCTTTATTCTTTACAAGATGTCAAGCCATGTCTGATGTTTACTCAGGTTGCAAATAATTAGCCGCGTTTCCATTAACCATCAATTGCGTAAACCCTAATTAAGAAAAGGAGTTAGCTAAACGGCAATGTAGCTATTTTGAAAAAAAAACTCCACGTTTTTCAGTAGAAAGATTTAGCATCAAAATTACCGTATTTTGCAAAACTTCAACGGAAACTCTTTGTGCATCACGCAAATCATGTGTTTTGCAACTGGACCTTACTACCTTGTAAAAAGAAGAAAAAGAAGACTGGAAGAAGTATCTTTTATCTACATTTAGTTTGTGACGAGGAGCACAAGGGCCATGGCTGAAATATGGATATATCTCATAGAAATGTTAACATCCACTGCTACTGGGTTGTTTTTAAGATTTATTGCGTGAACAAAAGTATTCATGTACAATTTTAAATGTATTTGCAATATAAAATGGAAATACTGCAATGGCAAACATTAGCATTTTCGAAATTAGCATAGTGACATTAGTTAGTGAGGGAGACTTTCAGCAAATAGCAGGTTTAACTAGGTTTTACTTAGTCTTTTTTTAATAATAAAAAAAAAGTATATACATTATTAAAAAAAACACGCTGTTGCCTACAGCAGTGGCCAAAATTGATATTTGTCATAGCAAAATCCATGTAAGTTGGTCAGAAAATTCACATCTGTAATTTTAGTGGAGCTGCATTACAGGAAATACTAAATCTGTGTCTTTGTTCCTACATTTAACAGATTGTGTCAGTTATAAAATTGCTTCTAACTTTATTGTAAAAAAAATTAAATTAAATTAAAAGCGACTAAATACACCACAATGTCTTGTTTTACGTGGATGTCTTTTGCTGGAAAGGTTATTACTCATTGGACAAAGGGGATTTTTTGTGTGTTTGTGTTTAAGCCTGAGGTTGTGCAATATCCTGGATATACTCAACTGTTTTCCAAGAAAATGAAATCTATCTGATTGGTGAGTTGCTGTTAACTTGTAGCATCATTGCTCCTTCCTTTTGTTTCCCTATAAATCTTTCAAGCCCAAACTTAACATTTGCCACACAGGATGTCTTAAGTACTTATGTCAAGCTTCTCCTAAACAATCTGTGCTTTCCCCGACCAGCAGAACATAAAAAAAAGGTCAGACAACCAAGTCACCCTCACCAGATGTACTGCTAAAAATAGAGGTCTCTCTGAGACTGCAGAAGAATTTCGGGTGACTCCTTAGAACAATAAACAACTACAGAACCATTCATGACCTTTTGAGAAAGAAAGAGGCTGACTGATACTGAGAGAAAGCAGACTTCGAAAGTTCTTCCTGAGAACAATGTTTTCTGTTTTAAGAGAGTAAGTATGCTTGGACTAACTGATGTCCCATTGTGCGTTCAATCGGGGATGAGGGAATCGATGCGTTACACAGCCGCTTGGCTAACCTGATGCGATGCATGCTTTCACATCACCCTATTTGTTCACGCTGAGCCGCCAAGGTTAAAGATTGAGTTGATCATTGAACACGTCTGCACAAATTAGGGACAGGTTTAGTAAATCTCAGGCTTAATATGTTACATCCAATAACTTGGCCCTGATTTATAATGTTAGATAGGTAAACAAGCATTGTTTGAGACGAGGTGGAGGGGGAGACTGGGTTTCTCCTCAATGCACGGGCTGTTTCCGTACATATTCTCATGTAACAAATGTCCTCATTTGTTATCAACGGTATTTGATTGTGTGCTGTGAACAAAATGAATAGAAGCCTGGATAAATCATTTAAGCATGAAATTCCAACAAGTAACTGATTTCAACCATGATATTGGAAACAATTGTTTGGATTATTTTGTTAAAAATAGCACAGTCTTGGATTTATGTGAACAAAAAAACAAAAGCATTCAAGTTTCTTCATTTCAAGTGTTGGCAGTTTGATCAGTTGGGTAAATCAGAAATATGTGAACACAAAGCTACAGCTGAAGATTTCCAGAGCTGCCTTTGAGGGAGCGAGGGGGAAAAAAAGGCCAAGGTAGAGATGTTTGGATCTAATGTAAGAAATGATGTTTATTGAGAACAAACACAGAATTTAAGCACTGACAACTTACGTCATCTGTTAACTGTGGTGCAGAGAGGTTGATGTTCTATGCCTGCTTTGCACCTCAACAATTTATAGCCATTAGGTGGAACATGGACTCCTCTGAAAAGGTGTGCTAGACTCAAATGTGCAACTCTACAATTATAGCTTAAACTTAAAAAATGTACTTTAACTTTATCTAACTGACATTTATCTGACATCATGCAAGACTGCTTTAATACGTCACGAATCTCCTTTTATTAAACTGTTTACAATCAGGGTAAGTACAGAAAGGGTACTTAGAGTTTACTTGAGGCTAGAAAGGTTTATGCCACACATTTGTCCCAGAAACTGTACATATGTGAGTTAAGGTTGGTTCCTTATGGTTTATAAGGCTTTTTTCAAAACTGTCTGTGTTATACAAAAACATGTTATCCTTTGTTTTTGCTTTTTTCTTTCTAGTGCAGGTTGTAAAAGCAACTGGAGCTTGAAAACTACACCCAACAATGTCTGGGTTGTGCTAACCAACTGGGCACAAATTCTAGCCAGAACATCAAGAATTCTGAGATGATCCCTCCTGCTTCAAATGGCCCACTCAAATGCTGGTCTTAAGCCTAGAACACAACGAATCCGATTTTGCGTCCGACAGAAAATTGGGTCACAAGAGGTTGTGGCGTTAAGCGCTCATTGAGAGTCAATGGGGATGATTAAACCCGACATATTTTCTGTAGGGGGCAATTTATCACTCTCCCCTCTTTAAGAAAAAATTGAAAGAAAAAAAACTTTGGCAAACATTGCATGAAGTTCTCTAAATCATCCAGTACTTATATAAACCATCAAACAGCCTTTATTGCTGCATTTTCCTTATATTTAAAGGAGAAGTTCGGTTTTTTACACTTTAAGCCCATTTTCTGTAGTGTCCAGGATGAAATCGAATGATCGACACCAAAAGTTTGACAATTGGTCCTGTCTCTGCTTCCACCGGAAACGGAAATGGAGCCTGTTTACACAGTTGTAGTCTTTTCGCTTCACTCTGTGTACTCCGACGTCGAGGTGCTAACGTCTCTGTTAAACACTTTAAAAAACTCTGAAAATGGAATACGAAAGGTGGATTCTTGATTCTCGACGTCGGAGTACACAGAGTGAAGCGAAAAGACTACAACTGTGTAAACAGGCTCCATTTCCGTTTCCGGTGGCAGCGGAATATTGACTATTCCTACAGAACTCAATGGGATTTACAAAATGCTAAATAAAACACTACAGGAACGTTTTTTCTTCACGAAACTTTTTTTGGAACGTCATTGAACAGCGCTGACGACACGGTGAGTAGCATATTTTAAAAAAAGAACGTTTAAGGTTGTTTTAAGGACATTATCGGACATGCTCTATGAAAGCCATTCTAAAGCAGCCAGGGGTGGATTCTAAATGAGCCAAAAAGCAGAGACAGGAGCAATTGTCAAACTTTTGGTGTCGATCATTCGATTTCATCCTGGACACTACAGAAAATGGGCTTAAAGTGTAAAAAACCGAACTTCTCCTTTAAATGCAGTTGCCATTATATTTTTAAAATAGATCTATTAATATCCTCTATTTGTTCTGGTTTGAAATCCAGCAACAGTCTGGTCATGAAGTGTGCTTTCTAGCCACACTGGTTGTTTTATTCTTAAGTAATTTTTCATAATCTGTCCCAGTCAAATTTGGGACAGTGTTTCAACTCATGGGGAATAAAGAAGAAGTCAAAAAATCTGCACAGTTCAGGATCTGCTCACCCTGCATAGTCAGAGCCTCTCTATACACAGTCAGTGCGACATGGAAAATTTGTAAACAACCGATATAAGCAGGGCTTTAAGATGTTTACTGTCTTATAACACTGACTTCTCTGGTAATAAAATCCTTTGAGAAACTGGAGCTGCACTCCAACATGCACCACCTCCACAATTGCACACCAGGACCTCACTTTAAACCCTGGCAGAGATTTGAATTACTGCGGCAATTAAAGAACAGCAGCCTTTTACCGGAGCTGATGGTCATCTTGGTCTCTCCTGTATTTGTTCATCACTGTGTGGTTTTGATCTTCCAGAAAACGAGAGAGGATCATCAGGAGAGGATTCAGGAGTGGTTTAAGTTTAAGGTCAGAATAAAGCTAGATCCCACACACCCTGGACTAAAGCTGTGTAAACTTTTACCTTTATGGTTTGCAGACACCCAAAGAGATGGTTTCTAATCAAAGAGCCCAGATACAGAACATGTATATTTGCATCAATCCAACCATGAACTTCCTTTATTGCAAACAAGATTTCAAATATTACTTCTTTGATTATATAAAATTTTTTTTTTATTTATACTTATATTTTAATTGAATTCAAAGTGGAATTCAAAGTTTGGTGTGCATAAACTTAAATCCGATAAATCCGATTTTGATTCGGAAAGGTGATAGAAAAAT